GGCGCGGGACTCCGTCGCACTTTGACGTTGTTTATTAGCGGTTTGTTTGCTCGTGAATTTATCGCAGTCAAATTGATTCGTTCAGAATTGTTTACATTGTGGCTTTGCACAGTAATGTAAGCAAGAACTCGACCGACTTTCGTTTAGCCGTAACAAGAAATACTCTTGTTTGGATAATACTTAATCCCCGTGAGTTCTCCGCTGAATAATTCTTTATACATTTTGTTTACTTATTTTTGCACTGTACAATAAATATTTAAAGAGAAAACATAGTATTCTACAAACAGAGCGTATAATATTGTAAGTTTTTGAGTAAAATGCTGTTATCAAATTTGGAAAAATAACTCAATTATAAATGTAAATTAAAACAGATCACACGTTAACTCAGTCGGCTAATGGAATTTTTTCTATTGTAGTTTAAATACCAAAATTAAATGTAAATCTATAAATAGAGCGATAAAAAATCACACGAGGCAGGAGTTTTTGCCTTTCATGGTCTTTTGCTTGCTTTGTTAAATAATAATTGTTAAGATGCTCTTTGCAATATTACAACAATGTATCACTTGTTAACAATTTTACATAATTACTTTTATACACGTGTAAATGTTTTTTGCTCTAACTGCTAATAATGCATTATTTCTTATCAATGGCTATCTATTTTTTGTAAATTTAAGATTGAATAGTTATTACTTTTGGTACAGTCTTTTTTTGTAGATTTTATTTCTAACCACTTTTACTTTAACCACGCAGATAATATATGAATTAGTTTGACCTTCTATAGATTTGCTTATTTGTTTAAAGTACGTAAAAACCATATTTATTTACACTAGGAAATTCACACTGTTATTTTACAAACGTGTATATTTCGGATTAGTTTTTAGTAATAACAATGTGAGATATAACGGCTTGGATGCTATTAATTTCATGGTAATATTAATTGTGTATCATAAACATATTATGTTGTATATATTTGTTTGATTATTAAACAACTGTGTAACTAATTACTCGAGTGTAAATATATTATAAGTTCAACCAATCAATTAGAGTTGTACCGGTTAAAGGAATAGTTGATTGCGCACGCTTGCATCTACTAGGATCGCATAACCATTCATTACCGTACACTCTGGTATCTAATCCTAAGCGCTTACTCGCGCTAACTCTGATGACTTAATTAATGAGCCGCCGTGTCGCTAGTAATTAAACGATTCCGGAAAATTGAACTCCAACGACGTCGCAGCCTGCGGTCGTCGCCGGATTAAAAACAAAATGCAATTTGGTGCTCAGCGCCGACGTCCGACCCGGATTCATGATTATTAGGAGCAAGGTCGTTACGTGCAAAAATTTACTACCAGTTTTATGTGTGCATTTAAGTTTTATTTTTAAAGAGATAACTACGTTCTAACTGATATACAAATAACTGCTAAGAAAATATGTTTTTATTGATGTATTTATTCTGAATCCCAAGTTACAGTATTCAGTCTCTATTAAAATTTCCTCGAAACCCATTAAAATAATTCTCGTAATGATATGTAGACGTACAAAGAAATAACAAGCTTTGTATCTTTTCAGAAATATTTATTAAATTTAACATGTTTCCACAAATTTAGTCTTGTTACATTTTATAGCATAGTTAGATAGGAAAGAATTCGACGCCCACCAACAAATGTACCGTATAATAAATAATATTGTGTGAGCGTCAGATTTGCGCACCTAATTTTTCAATCGATGTAAACATTCCATTTGGCTTTGTACCGAGAAAATGTATGTAAAACTTTATCGAGTATGCGATAATTTCCATCGGTTTCGCCACATATTGTGTGCTACATAATGTATAATATTTACGTTCCTTGGATCTCTGCCAAGAAGTACTTTTTCAGCGATGAATCACGACTAAGCATGCTGGTGACAAAACTAACAGGTTATTTAATCATAGAACATATTATTCAAAAGCGAGCCAAATTGTTTTGACATGTTCTTTACTCATGTCCTCACAAACTAAACAGTCAACATATAAACAGACTAAATTAAGAAAACGTCCAGTAGTTGATGTTTGTTTAACATTTGTTAGCATTTTATAATACTATCCACTATGTTATTTTTAAAAGTGAACATATTTTGACACAAATTAGCTAACCCAATTACGTAAATTAGTAGGTACGTAATAACTCTTCGATCAATAATTTTGTTATTATTGCCTCGTAATGCTCGTGTTCAAACTTGTCACATTAGTAATTAATTTGTTACTGGTAAAGCAATTACGGTAAATGAGCGTTGTCGGCGGGCCGTTCACGTTGCGAGCCGCCTTAACCGATGCTAATTATTAGATACAATCTTATAAACACGGCCTCTATTAACATTCGACTCTCCAAATTGCTCATAGTAATTATTTAACAACAAGTATAACAATAAAATTTTCCCATGACTCTTTATAGCCGCCTAATAACGACGACCTTTAACTAAGTACTAAACGTTCAACAACATAAACGTTTTCATTAAAGCACTCGGAAATTCATCGCGAGAATAATAACGAGTCCGCAGTAGATAAATTTAATTTTACAACGAATAAATCTCTTTAGTACTGTGACGAAAACAAAATTCTCCCGAGATCTTTATTTGGCTGCCACAAAAGATTTTATACAATTCATTTCAGTCTCATAAAAAAAGTTATCACGAGTTCACAGAAATCGCGGCGAGCTATTTTTCTGCGGGCGGTTGTTCTCCCCGTGGGAAAGCCGTTTTAAGGCCAAATTAATGCCTGCGACCATGTCATTTTTGGATGATACGCTCTTTTTCGGTCGCTATTAAAATATTCTACAATAAACAATTTTTGCTTAACAATAATTTTATAGAGAAGGAAGGCAAGAAATACGACTCGACATTACAATGTCCGGTAAAAATTTAGTGATATTTTATTTGAATTTATATTATTTTAAACAATTTGAACGCACAGGAACTAGACATTTAGTGTTAGATTTTTATACGCTCTAATTATTTTTTATCGTTGGAAAATATGCGTAAGCAAATGGTTTTTATATTGTGTTTTGACTATAAATTCAAATTTAACCTTTTATTATGACTACAAAAAATTACTAAGGCACTCTTAAAAAATTCAATGACGTCTTTCACAAATTTATTTCTTTTGTTATGGGACTTTTTAAATTTAATGATTAATTATTTTTCATTTCAAACAAGTAACGTTTACTAGGAGCATGGTTTGATTATACAACGTTCTTGATCACACAGTTGTTTTAAAGGGAGTTAATGATTTAATGTTTACTTAAATTGCTCGTTTAGTTATAACAGTACTAAAACTAACAACTTGTAAGTAGTTTTGTATTGTGTTATGCAAGTTTTGATCCAACTCTGTAAACGGATGACTGCTAGTGGCATTTAGGTAGAGTGCTTCCGTAATGCGAAGTGTTAGTGGTCGATACCGGATGTTGTGTTTGGATAATTGTTAGCTTCACTCTGTAGCTTTAGGGCGATCTATAACTTTCGTAAACCTAGACAAGTTATTAATACTAAAATACTTTTCAAAAGTTCTACTTCCTACTAATATTATAAATGCGAATGTTTTTATGTATGGATGGACGGATATTTGTAAGAAGGTATCGCTGAAGTTTGGCAAAGATGGAGATAGCCTGGAAGAACACATAGGGTACTAATTAAGTTTTTTTTAATTCCGCGTGGAAGGAGTCGTGGGCTACAGCTACTTTATTTATAAACATACAAAAACATGATTCAGTAGCAAAAAATCATTAAACATTTTAATATAAAATTAAATAATTCCGCATACTGTAATAAAATTTGCTTACTTTTATTGTATTCGATTAATCTAAACAAGTTTTAGATGTTTTATCTTCTGTTTTATTGGATCAAGATTACATAACTACATTTTGAATCTCGTTATTACATTAGGATGAATCCAACTGTTTACATATAGTAGTAGCAGTGTTTAATATCAACGTTAAAAGCATTAACTTGTAGTAGAGCTCGACTGCGGCTTAAAGGCTCAATAAAAGCGACAAGTGTTTGCGTGAGTTCTTTCTGCACTCTAATACATCATAGTACACGTAGTTAACATCGCAAATGGAGTACACAGACATAATAAATGTGTAAACACTTTTATTTTGTGTAATAACTTTAGTTGAGAAATACATGTACAAATTTATTAATTTTGCTATACAAAGGATACAATTTGTTTGACGCTTAAAACGTTTAGATATGAATATAAGATAATTTTATTTATTCAAATTCAAAGTTCAAAAAATTTAAAAGATATTAAACTTTTTTTTTCATTAATTTGACTAGACACTACGATTATTTAAACTGTCTAATATAACATGTTTAAAAGCTAAGAACATTTGGCATTTGTATTCGATTATGAGATAAAACATCTCGCAACCAAGTCTAACATAATATGTCTGACATCAATAAATTCAGCAGGAAACCTCGTAGTTTTACAGCTTTACGAAATGACTGTCTCACGAGGAATGCGCCCACGATAATCTCACGCGTCAATTTAGACCTTGTGAATTATTTGAAATCGTGATTTGCCATTTATTTTCTTCCAAGTTTTTTTTTAATTTAAAGAATTTTTATTTATTTCTCTTTGCTACAGTCTTTACTTTATCAATAAAACTATGAATTGTATCTCATATTAGTCTGTCATCGAATATAATGTACTTCGTCTGGCGCTCTAATCCATTAGATACGATTTTATTCGTGAATATATTGTGGGATAGATGTTGGCTTGCTGAAGTATTTATTTGTTACCTACAAAATATTTCGTGTTTCAATTCCCTTGGGAAAAATTACCAATTTAAAACTAAATCAAATATACTTCAGGTAGATAATTAAAGAAAGCAATTAAGCGTGAGAAGATAAGAAAAAAGGTTAATTTTGTTTCCGGAATAATCCTTTTTGCATAAATGTAACATAGAATAAAGTATTTATATTGTTCGAGTATTTATGGTTAAATTTAATTTGTTTGTTGTCAGGCTGCTGTAAAATGCGCTTCTTCACCTCGTACCAACGCGTTGTCGACAAAGCCGCGACTACCCCTCGCAGCATTGGCCGGCGACGCTCCCCGGAACCACCCACCCAACAATGTCAACTCACACGTAAGTACACAAACACAAAGTATAATCAAACCTTCATTGCATGCCAATCAAAATCAAAATATTTTATCCTGTCATTAAGTAGGTAAGCCGATTTCCAATCAACATTTTTTTCTCTATGATCTGATTGTAAAGTGTAATCATTACGTTATCTGTATATTTTATCTATTGATACGAAGGAACAATCCATGCTTATAAAATGAAAGAGACCAGTTTTGTTATTTTACGTTCGACATTAAAAATGTAACTCGTATAACGTGACTAAGACGTCCTTGTTTTCAACTCTAATAGCGTGTTCGAGTGTAACTTTTAAATGAATGTTTTAACAGCAATGTGCTGTTGTAATTGTTATTGTTAACGCTATAATTCAATCGATAATATCGAATAATCGATATATTACTGCGTGCTTTCTCACCGGCCGTGCTCAACGTAACGTTAATGCATCGGGTGATCTCACGCGTCTAAATGCAGCCGGTCTAAATCTGTATGCTATCGGTGTGCCTCTTCCGGACCTTGCTTTCTCGCCAAACGCATAATATGTACGTAAACTGCCACTCGACTTGTCAACGCGGTCTCCGAGGCCGATGGAGAACCGACTCACGTAAAGTGCCGTGTGTAGTTTCATGTTAGCACTTGTGAGCTTGTGTGCGTGTTTACTAAACTCGTTAACAGTTTACTAAAGCATAAAGTGTAATTGAACACCGAGTTTACAAGCCAACCCTTTAGTTTCGTTTCTACCAGTTGTAAATAAAAACACTTAACTGGTGGTATAAATACTTTTATAAAAGCCAGAATTTTTATTCTGTATCTCGATTTACATGCTCTTAAAATTATGACATACTTAAAATTATGATAAAATTAATGGTTCTTAGAATATTCCTTAATAATATATTGTATTTTTAGTGTGATCGGATTTTAGGATTGAAACGGAAGAATAAATTAAAATATATTTGTGATTCTAATAAAAAGACTATAAGCATGTTATTATTAGAATTTACCATTTTTAAAATTGTCCGTGGTTTAATGCGGTCTTTATGAATGTTAACGGCGTAAATAAAGCTAGAGCTGTAATTAAAAACTTTTGAAACAACGCTTTCATTGGCTGCGCGGATGCACCGGATTGTTGTGTCGAGTTGTTGTTTTTTTGTTGAACGGGTGTCGGTAGTAGCAAGACGGACGTTTGTGAATCACAATGCGCATGAATATTGCAGTGGATAAAGCTTGGATGGTATGGGGAGGATTGTGGACGGTCGGAAGCGTGCAGTCGACACGATATTAAAATAAAATGCCGGCGAACCCGACGCTCGTGCCCGGTATTACCTACCTATCTTCAGCTCTCACATTTTATGCGCTACCTTTATAAATTGGCCGATCATCGACGGCCAGTTCAAAGCAAATATTTGATTTTTATGTCTTCCCAGTGTTTATGTGAGGGAAATGTTTATACGACATGTTTTAATACGAATATTTCTTTTATAACATATTTATTTGATAGGAGTTTTATTTACGTTACACAAAAGTCTTTTTCGATACACAATGTTATCACAGCGTTATTTGTATTGGATACAACTCTGGAAATTCGATCTCTTTACTGTGAATAATCCTTTTACAATAAAGGCACATCAGCTAAAGAGAGTCGCGTTTTTCCCTATTTGAAAAGAGTAGTAAGCGGAATGAGAGCAGTTTACCCGCATTTCGTCGGTTCGCCGCCAGCCAAGATATGTCGCAATCCCATCCAATTTGCCTCCCGCCGCTTGTGCTTTTGCTCGAATAAAGCAGAAAATCTTGCTCCGTGGAGAAAAGAATAATTTATATCGACTCGAGTACGAGCCAGTTAAATTTTGTATGGGAAAAGTTTTACGATACCGATTCTCAACAAGAATACATTTATTTACAGAGGTGGAACGAGGGTACTTGTATTCTAATAAAATTATCTACACTGTCTGGTTTAAATTTTGTTGTATTCGTATATTTAAATATTATTGAGTTTGAATGTAAAAAGTTTCTACTAAACTTTATTACTGAAGCTAATCAAAATGTTATAAGTATTCCAGAGTTTGTAAATTCTTAAGTTTGCTTCCCAACTTGGTAGAGGTTTTGTGAGAACTTTGCACCCTTAACTTATACGTAGTTTATCATTGATATTTACAAAAAATCGTGCTGTAAAATAGTGTTTTTTTTTGCAAAGCTCTCTCTTATTTTATTTTTATTGATAACATATAATTTTATTAGGCTAATATGTGCCAAGGTTTACTAGTACCATCATATTGTTTAAAAGAATATAGTCTTTCTTTACAAGAAGTATTAAGAATTTAAAAAAGTATCATATGGCATTCAGTAAGAGCGAGGCAGGGAGACGAGCGCGGCCGTCTGAGCGGGCGGAGGGGCTCGCCGCAGCGGTGTCGACTAATAGCTCTTCGCAGATTCAATTTGCCGTCGAATAGAACACAGCCTCCCGGCGGGCTGTCGCGATCATTAAGTTTCGCTCCCCATTTCCGACCGCCAGCTACTGAAATTCACTTGGAACATCCCACCAGACTTGCCGTTAATATTTACGTTCAAGTTACTATCGTAAAACTTGTTTAATGTTTGTTTAACATAAATAAAAACAATGATAGGACAAAGAATCATCTGTAAGGTTAAAATATCCGAAGCGGAAATATTTTGACTTTTTGCAATGCTTTTTTAAAATCGTCGTCTCAAATACTCAACAAACCCTTGAAGAAATGTAAATCCCTGATCATCGCTAGCGTAGCAATAGCAATCAATCGGTATGTTCACATCGGTCGGTAACTACACGGAGCGCAATTGCATTTGTACGTCCTCATGAAATTGGTTGCGGTGAAGTGAACACGACTTGATTGCTTTCGACAGCGGTGTCCTTATTGTGTTGTCACTGGGAGCTGGCGAGCCGCCATCGCCCGACCGCCGAATGTTTTTATTCCCCGCTCTCTGATATTGCCGTTTGCTTACGTCTACTTCGATTTTCCTTATCTTGCCTGCTGGCGAAATATACCGCCGTCTGTTTTATGTCGCCCTTTCGACATCACTTTGTTTGTATAACATTATTTAACGCTACTTGAATTATAGCGTAATATTTTTGCTGCCGTATACAAAATAAATAAGATCTCCGATAAAATTTATTGTAATTTGTTTGCTTAAGTATTCAGTATTTGTATTATCCAATCAAACTATTAATTTAATTTTGATCGATGTATAAATTTCTACAATTGTTTTGAGCATTCTTGTTAACCTTATCCTTACATTTTGGCAAATTCGACATTTGCCATTATCTAACCTTGCAATTATGTATTTATATCAGTTGATTACGTCAGAGCCATTAAAAGCCGACACGACAAAGTTTTATTTTTGGGCCGAAACATATCAAATTGTCACATAGTAAGTGATTACTATCATTATTATCACAGTCCCTATCATACGCTCAAATGTGTATTGTTAACACTAAACACGAGAGATATTTGCGATAAAACGGCAAACGATAGCGTCAAATAATTACGCGCGACACATCGGGTATGCGGATTCAATCCCAGTTCCATTAGCCGATGTAATATTAATCCAGTCTGTCGCGGCTTTCCATTTAGCGAAGGCGCGGAATGCTGGCGCGGATGCTGATTGATCTGGTTACTCTCCGAGATCGTCGCTCCGATGCAATGTTTAAGTTATTTTAAGCGAACCAATCTGCGTACGCCTCAACCTCTTATATTATTCATGGACTGTCTCCAAACGATGGTATTTTTCGGTCAATTTTATTATAGTAATTTATATTGTGTGCCACTTGCTGTTTAGTGCAAATTCGTAGTATAATCATCATTTCTGATACTTATAACATTAATTTAAATTTAAACTTTAATTTATATGTTAATACTATGATTTTTTTTTCAAATTACACACAAAGTTGTAATGTTACATTTTGCGTTATGTTTGTTTTATAGTCGCAATAAATACAGCAGCCCCTAAAATACTGTTAAGGAAATACATATAAACAAGTAAAATCAACAGCCGCCATCTGAATCCTCTTTTATCAGAGCTTATTTGGATCAATGTCAAGACGACACTTCATCATAGATAAGTTGAGAAAAGTTATGGTACGCGATGTCCGGGATTTAATCCGAACCACTTAGCGACTGTTGTGACGTAACCAATGAAATATTATAATATTAATATTTTTAACTACCAAGTGCTTTTGACTTTATTAGCTACTTAGTTCCTCCTCATTCTTTTGCAACTTGATAACAGAATCATTGAATGCTGATTTCTCATAGCAAACTAGATTAATCCTCATTCATAGCAGCTACAAAGATAATGTTACAATACGTAAGTTATACAGACGATACAAGTAATTAGGGCGGCTAGTATCTCCGTCTAGTCCCAACAAGAGTTACGTGCCGTGACATAAATAAATTATGCAACCGCACTTACGCCAGTGCAGTGCTCCGCGCAGTCACAAGTGCGCCGGCGCACGCCACTACACTCGCCCCAACATTTAACTGATCGATAAATATTAATAACTACTGGTGTTTATTGCAGCCATTTTCATTTACATGGCAACTCGAAATTAATAACTCTGAATCAAGGTCGCTTTTAAAAAGGTGCCTCCCTATTGGTATATTAATTCGCTGTAGAAACTAAATTTAAATAATTTTACATGTCCCTTACTTAGCTACTCGCCCCTTGTTAAGGTTTCGTGGTATAGCGTTAAGGTGTTAATCTAATTAGTATATTATGCCCGCTTACGTACGTGTTCAAAAATATTTTCTAATATGAAATAACTTGGCTTAACTTATATCGGAATATAGCTTTTTATTCCTACGACTATCCTCACAATTTGATGGTATTTTTATATGAACCAAACAATCGTATGGGTCGTTTAAGAACACTTGTGTTTTTTGGACTGTTTATTTGTTAGCTCTGCTATTAAGTTGAGAGTTATATTGAATGTGTCGTGTTCTTTATTTCTACTTAAAAAAGAATATCAATCTTTTTCTTTGAAAGGTCAACAAGTCTAAGCTTATAAGATATGACAACATTTAGAGCCATTTGTCAAGAAGTTTGCTAAGATATTAGAAATATGTATTTGAGAATGAATAATCAATTCAAACTTGGATAACAAATAGACATACCTACTCTTATATTATTACGCGTTTATCGTGACTTGTAAATCTTTCATTTCAAACTCCGTAATCTCTTGAAGATTATTTATCTCGAGGGTACTTTATATCGAATGAAATGTCGCAAATTTTCTAAAGTCTTTTATTTTTTTATTGCTAATGTTATCTATGCTGTTCAATAACATCATTTATTACTGTCACGATGTTATTGCTGAGGATTTTATCTCTGACAAGATCGCACGTTAAAAATATTTCATTCATATTGTTTGTACATTTAGACATCACTATTATCCAACTTGGCAATAGAAAATTACTGTAATTTATTTTGTTTGTCGAGACAATAAAGTCAATATTGCCTCAGTTTATTATCATAAGTTTATAGAACAAGAATATATATACCAAATAACATTTTGATCATCTATTCATAGATTATTAAAAATTCATGAATATTTGACAGAAAAATAAGCATGTAATTTACTTGATATTAAGTGATCAGCGCTGTTTGAAAAATTACAGGTCTGTTGTTTGAACCATCAATGTGGAAAAGTGGGGGTGTGGTCGAAAATCATGTCGTTATTTTTCCACTTATTGTTCGTACAAAATGTAACAACAGTTTTTTATAAGCAAAACATTCGGTAACCAGTTTTCATACATTTCTTAATGCTCGAGTTATCGACAAATATTTAAATTACATTTCACCTTAGGATGAGACCAAATGGCTTTCATTTTAATGTTTGTCTTAGTCGTGATCACACAGGCAAGATTACATAAGATTATCTTCTTTGCGCGATTTATATTGTTTATGTTTGTGGTGTAGACATTTTTAATTAAGCAATTTTAAAAGTTTAACGATTCTAGTCCATTGCTACCTTTAGACCTAAACCATATTGGCCAAGGAAGCAAGGCTAAGTACGTAGCTCTGAATATTTTCAGACGTATACCGAAGACAGTACATATTCACGATAATTGAATGATTTATCGCGTTGGTCACGTTCCGCCGCCATATGGAGTTCTCATGAATAAGTAATGTTCTGGCGCGGTCGTTGTTTCAATTAGCGGTTGTGTCGTCGGTCGGCCGTCCCCCGCTCCAACCGGCCCGCCACCGCCCCCGGGCCCGCCCGCCGGCCAAACTACACGTCACGACGGATCTGATTTAATAGTTGTCCTTTAGTCGGTAAACATTCATTACTATAGGGATCATTTCTACGCTAACGTGGTCATTTTCGTGGCCTCTGTTTATGGATTTGTTTATTGGAGCACTTTTATTAAAGAAAAACCCAAAAACAGTAGGCGTCGCTGGCTCTTTTAAAATGCTGTTTAGATCAACTTGTACCTTTAGAAAGCAAGAGGTTGCTTTGTCTTTAAATGCCGTAGGTAGATAAATAACTAAGGGTACAAAAAAGTTAACTTTAAACTAGGGATATATACGAGATCCGAATGTCCTCATATTTATTATTTCCGTAACATGTACAAATTTATCGTAAAACTTCACTTAAGATTTAAAGCTCCCGTTTAAATCGCAGGAGCCCTCGAGGTAAGTTACACTTAAAGTTCATGCTAAGCGCACTTAGCGCTCGACCGCCTCGAAACCCTGTGGGACTACGGATACCTCTTCAGACAAATACCTATAAAGACAAAAAAAAACTTTTCATTAAATAAGGCTACATTGCAACTTCCTTATAGGTGAATTAATAGTTTTGTTTATCGATGTTTAAGTCTAGTTTCAGTTCGATTCTCAAAAACAGTATATAATAAAATTAATAAAATAAAATATATAATAAACTTTTACGACCTCTCCAAACAATAAAACGTCTTTGGAAACACGACATTTTGTTACATTGTGTCGACTATTCAAAACTTATTACCATAACACAACATGAACAGTTGTCGCTGAGTAGGTGTCTCGAAGGCTCACTCATTAACAACTCTGTTCACTCAGTGCGGGAGTGTCCATTGTAATTAAAGCGCATTCGTAATGAGCTATAGCAATTATGCGGTAACATCCGGCGTTACCCGGAGCAACACGCGTCCCGGATTAAGGGATCCTGTTGGCCTATGCGGTGTCGGATTAAATTGATACGCCGCGACTCAACTCGACTCGTTTATCTATGTAAAGGGTCGGGAAGCGATCCCTTTTATTAGGAGCGGGGACGTAATCGTGCGCGTATAGCTTATTGTTGGCTGTTATGTGGGAATAAGGACGCGTTCAACTTTTATTACGTCTCTCTCAGTGACTACTTAAGACACCGTTAACAAAGTTATGCTTTCACGCTTCCGCGGCGGCGCTCTTGATCACCCCTTAGATTTGTTTTTGATTGAATAATAAAAAGGAAATTTTCGATATTTGAATTTTAATGCATATCCAAATAATCACTTCAACTAAATAAAAATGTAATAACTCTTTTATCGATCTCAAAGTTTAGATAAGTGCTATACTTATGTGCGTTTGCTAAGCGTTTTAATTATGATTTAGTTACAGTGGTTTTAACAAGCATTTAATTTCGAAATTAACAAGTATTATAATTTAACCTCACCGCATTTGATTTATCTCGATGCACTTAACAATAATATGTTTAAACATAATGGATTACATAATGCGAAAAGATACACGAAACAATATCATCAAGATTTACATTCTACAAAATAAGGTATAACTTAGTGGTGTAATAGATAATATCTTTTTTGCTACATTGTTACTGTAACTAGAATAGAGTGTCACCAATAGTACAAGGAAACGTGCCAACAATCGTTCATCGCTCACGAAAAATATTATGACACGTAAATCAAAACATATTTGATGGTCCGTAATAAAATTGTGAAAGTTCATTGAGCGAGCGCGGCCGGAGAGTTATCCATTTACAGAGAGTTACTGGTCGTTTTATTTTCTTTTATCCGTCCCGTCGAGCGCCCTCCCCCGGACCCGGACTCGAGCGCGCTACGAACCCCGCCGTAAAATACACGCGAAATGTGATAAATGGAAAACTCTTTTTATTGTTGGGACCCGGCCACGCAACGTTACGGGTAGGCAGTCTCCCTGTCCGCCTTATCAAGTTTTCTTATATCCTAGTTACCGCTCAATTTTGCCAGTCTACATAAAAAGCTTTCCTTTTACCCTCATCTAATAGAATTTTACCCTCTTACCGTGTAAGAGTATCGCTACACGTCTTTGCTTCGAGTCTATTGACGTACGGAGATAAATCTCTTATACAATCTGTTGTAAAATGGACTTGAAAAGGTTCATATATCTTTAAATAGATTTTAATATTTGTATTTTACTTACAAGTTTTAATAAATGGAAACAGTAGTTTTTAACACAGTTCAAACAACTGTTTCTGGCTTGCATACTCATAGTACTATTATCAATGCCTTTTTAGGAATAATTATAAATCGTTTGAAATACAAATTTGAAAAAAAAAAGTATTTTTAGTTACAATATATATTATACAACAGATTTTGTTCACAAGAATACAAATTTAAATGTATGCTCTTAAATATTTGAATAGTTGGTTTAATGCTTTGTTTGTTCTTTAATATACAACTCGGTCTGCATTAAGATGAAAACGTTCCCAGTCTCTCTCGGATACAAAGCAATACGACGGAATAAATTCATCCATTTAGATCCGCTTAGTAATGTTTACGTGATGCGAGTACAAATTCAACGAACAGCTAAAACAAATTTACTGTCTTATTATACCGTAATTTGCATTGCTACTCGTACACCTCATTATCGTTTATTTTATATAAACTCTCACAACTTTTATTTCAATCAGAGTAGATAGAGATAACAATATATGTTTGCGTTATAGTACTGAGTTTGATACGACAATCGTGACGAGGCCTTGTAAATTTTATTTAGATTGGAACTCTCCGTTCGAATATGTAAATTGTAAAAAAATGTTATGCAATGTATTAAACATGTTTTGATTTATATTCCTTATTTATATGTTTCATTTTCCACTATAATACGATGTCTGATCTTTATCGGTTGAAGAACGTGAATATAAAGTTATGTAAACTAAAATAATCATATCTAAATCACCACAGACACATCATTTGTTTTGTTGTGCCGAATAAAAAATTATTAACAAACCAGATGCAATTTTTTTTTGTAATAGTTGATACGGTCGTGGCGCTTCATTTTTAATCAAGTACTGGATGAACATGTATATTTTATAAGGGTCCCTTTCACGTTCATTCGAAAGTGAAGAGGCATATTGCCTTATATTTGCCGTAAGACGTTCAGAAACAGATTTTATTTGAATAATTGTTGTGCAGGGTATAACGCTGCTTCAAGACGCTGGCACGTCGGATGACAGTGGAAGGGCATCTGAACGGCTCACGGGCAGCTCATTGGCGCCACGCGACCCCGATTCCTCGCGCGACCGTCTTAGTGACGTACGTATACACTCCAATCCGCAAAAAACTTTTATATTTTTATCAATAACTTTGTAATACCTGTCAGCTTAGCATTATCGGGATTCAATATCATCCTAGACTTTAACTATTTCAACACAATTTCTAAAATATTTAAATCTAAATGTCGAACAGACTTCAATTTGCTTTCGTCTAAATTTCCGATCTACTTTATCAACTTCATGCATGTCAATGATAATACCATTTTGATTCGATGTTGTGACTGTCTCTCAATGTTAGATATGTGTTCACTATTCAGTTGTTGTTTGTACGAAATGATTTGCTGCCTTTTACTTGTCTCCCCCTGTGTATTCTAATAAAAACACGAGATTTAATATGACTTGATACGACCGACGAAAAGCTAGAGTTTGTTCACAAATACATGGGGAGCGACATGTAAATATACCTACTACCTCAATCGGTCCAGTCCACTCATATGTTCGCCTTCTCTCTCCTGCCTACAGGCCAGTAGCCGCTGTAGTTCCGGAAAAGGCTATATCGTGAGTATCCTCATTAATGTCCTATAGCGTACAAGCTCCTCTGGCATGACTCACACGTCCATCGGCTTCGCTTGTTTATACTGACTTTTATTACGTTTACGCGGAAAGCATGGATAAAATTTGGCTGGTTTTCTTTTTCCACTAATTCTCAACTCTTGCTTATCTTTCAAATCTTTTAATATTAAGTGCTATTACAACAACGTGACTGCAATGTTAAATCTTAACGTTCTCATAGCCTCATCGAAAGCGGTTTCCATATGAACAACTAGCGAGCCGTCAGTTCGGGCACGTAACCTATTCCACGCCTCAATAAAACCAATAATGTATCATTTAGTTGCCATTCCTAGTCGCCAAGCGAGCCGCGAACGCTATTAGGAGTTATTTAAAGGTGAAAGCCATAATTTTCGATTACCTTGTGCAAATTTAGTCCGATCACGCAACACACGGTCCCCGTTCGATATTCGGCGCGTATCGCAGGTAAATCACTAGATTTGTCGAGGCGGTGCCGCCCCATACTACATAACATTACGCGCGCCCGCCCTGAATACTTCATGTACTGTATTTATTTGAAATTGTAATATCTCAGCCCGATCCCTTGTTTCCCTCGACGCGAACTCGACTCGTAAATATCGTATGGATTATTTTGCCTCGATACGATGATAGACTTTCTTTTCAAACAATTTGTATATTGATTGATATTTTTCCATTTTGTTGGGTATGGTTTAGGTTATGGCGTCAATATTTTCATATGGGTTGTAATATGTCATTCCATTAAGTAAACTCATTTTAACTTTAGTAACAGCATTTTTTATACCAGTTGGAAAATATAATATTTGCTTGATATAATATTTTATGCATGCAGCAGGAGTTATGTTATTTGAAGAAAGTTTTCAGTGTTATTAATGTATAAACGTCTCTCTTTTGCAGTGTGATAGTGAAGGCGACGACGACAAGGCAAGTACAATAAATATTATTCCGCAGCCGGCACTGCCGACTGTATTTCCAGCTATATTTACGTAGCGCGTAAATTAATTAAAGCGGTCCTCTCGGCTCCTTGTGAGCGAAAAGTTGAAACCGGGCGTAGGGAATAAATGTCCGTGTAATGTAAGTGGTGAAGTTGTTCGCTCCCCGGGTTATTACTCGGCACACTCGCGCCCGGATTAATATATTCCACGGAGAAAACTCTGCACTTGTTTACATATTAATTACCGTCTACTTAGTTTAATGTCCCCGGCAATTTCTGCCGAACTAAGACTTCAAAGGTAAAGCCACAACGAAAGTCGGATTTAATTGAGGATTTATTAAGTAAGATAGAGTTTGTAAGACTAACTTCATTCCGAAGTTTTCGTGTCGGCAATTAATTGTTTAAAATTTCGTTAATTATTAAAGAACTAATATACATTTTCGACTATATCCTACTAGGCCTCCTCTTTTACCTCATTGATGCCAAATGGAAAATTAATGTGTGAAACTTTTAAAATAATGGAATAAAAAAAATTAATTACGCTTTTCACTGATTTAATTTCCACTGAAAAGTTAGCAATGAGCGAATAGTGAAAAAGTGTAATATGACGCTGCTTTTATTTACAAACGGGTCAGTCTGCAGGCATGAGTCGGAGGGGTTGGCGAGTTTCTCTTTGTGCCGACCGTACTCGCTGTAGGGGCTTAACTAACTCGTCAACAGGTTGTAAAATGCGAGTGAAAAGCTAGAGTCGTGAACGTGGAGCGCTCTCCGACGCGTGTCGACGTCGCAAAGGGTCCTGATTACGCGCCGCCGCACCGCTTCCTAATTGCAAGATTGGCGCAGTCGCCAAGTGCCCGTAATTAAACATTACATTAACTCTTTTGCTGCTGACGCTACGCCACGCTCGCCTCCCAAGCGCGACATTCAATGTGTGCGTTCAAATTCTGTCACTTGTACGAGTGTGTACCTAAGTGGAGGGCATATTACATGCTGTAATTTTCACGCCTTTGCTCGAAATACGTACATAGGACGTTATTTGTATCTCTAGCCGTATTAAGTCGGTAGAGTTAGTATTAACACACATAAGCAAAATAAAAATATCGCCTTTAATTTTCTAACTTTCTTAAACTGACTTAGAAGGTTCTCTCCTCCTACTCCTAATTAAATAAACTAAAAAGATATTTGTGTAATTATTCTGATCAATTATTAGCTCACAAGAATAGTCTTTTCTATAAAGGTGCCAAAGTTTGAAATGCTTAAATGAAGGCAATACTATACTTGGTAAGATCGTGAAGTCACTGGTATTTGTCAGTTCAAAATAAATGTCTAAAGCAAACGATTCTGGTTGTTTTCTTAAAACAACTGAAAACTTTGAGTGCACGGTACCTATATATTCTGTGTACAGGGACTGAATTACGTCGTGAGCGCATTGTTTGTACATCTTTGAAACTTTCTCGACTAAGTTAAGGATTGTTATCTTGTTTCAAATATCTTTAAATGTAACTCTACATTTACCGTATGTAAAGTACTGTAATAAAAAAGCGTATTTTAATCATTCCGTTTACAATTGATAGAAAATGTATCCCAAAATAAAACGAGAGAAACAAAACCGGCAATATTCATTGAACATTCCTCCTCTCTTACGTTATTTCGTTGGAAATAATATAAACATGTTTTCAATAAAATATTGATTGTAAAAGATAAATGTATCTGAATTCATCATGATAGATATTCGCAGTTCAATCTAAAATATTCATTTCAAATTCAAAACAAATATTGTTTTTAGAGTTTTGTTACCTATTTTTAAACGGCTTTATAATTTAAACGAGAATAGTACGTGGTTAAAAGCACAAGCTTGTAGAGAGAATGAAAATCAACGCATGCAATCGCAATAAGCATCAAGCATTCAGTACCAATAACAATCGCACCAAAATAAAAAGAGGATTAAAAAAAATGTAAAAACGTATAATTTAGGAAGGTTTTGCAAAAGTGAATTATTTTTTTTCCTAGCTCTGTTATTCGGTGCCAGATGGTAATAACACTTTATAGATTTTTGATAACTCAAACACAAACAATTTCGATGAATCCACTCCAGTCATTTAGTTTTCACCTAATCGTATTACAAAGTAAAGTGCGCACATTGCAAGCACTTGTTAAATACAGTTTGAATTAAGTGGCACGGCAACACCGGCTAATGGATATTTGAGGAGGAAATCAGTTTGAGCCGCGCCGTGTTGATTAATTAAATCATCCCGGGAGACTTCACCGCCAGCGCTATCCGACTTCTACATACCTATCTAAAGTGTGTGCGAGTGGGACAGGAACATTTGTTCTGTTCACTGACCGATATTCAAACTGGTTTCGTAACTAATTTTTTAAGTCCTTATTTATTGCATTAAATTTTTGTTATCAATACAATTAGTATACAATCATCTCGTGACTGGAAATTAAAAGGAATATTACAGTATACCTTATTAGAAGTTCCATTTTGTTATTTACTGTTTATAATATCAAAGATATTTTCGCAACTTAGATAGACATTGTACTGCCCTATTTAATTATTTTTTCTACAATAAATTTAGGTATTATACTCACTGCAAATTCCGATTATTCGTAAAGTCTGAGAAAGCAACACAAAAGAGCTCGCTGGTTACTGTAAACTAGATTATTTGCCGATCGCCGTGCAAGTTATGAATAGGTTTGCTAGAATCTCTGCGGAGTAGGAAAAGCCAGCAAACTCTGTTATTAGCTTAGCAAATAACAGCGGCTGTAGTGACCACCCCTGCACGACCGCAGCCCACCGGCACCCGTATACGTAACTTGCGGCTATTTTTTTTTTGTATCCTGCCAGTACTTTGAACTTTTTTAGGTTTTTTAAATCGATATTAACCCGTTTCGTTAGTCCTCGTGTTTAATGCGCTAAATAGCGTTTCCATTTTTGTTTTGTAAGCAACTGTTGGCTTTTAAAATTGTAGAATATTAAAATAAAACAAATTGTTTTAATAATTAGCAAGAAGTTAAAGAAAACACTGGAAACTGCATATAGAGATGGTCATTGAAAATTTTTAAATGCAATAATTAATTTAAATCTTAATGAAATAAAGATAGTTCTCGCTTAGTACTCACATTTTTTACGTCTTCTCTGTACCAATGTATAAAAGGCGTAGTTTCCACAGAGTAAGCACAAAGCTCATCATCATTCATCAGCTTGTATATCACTTCTAGTCGATTAGAGTTTGGGCAAAGTTGCGTAGTCTGCCCTATTCAAGCGTGTCAAAGAAAATTTGGGGATATTAATAAAATCAAGAATACAAATTGTCATTTACCTGGTATGAAATTCTTACGTAATTTTAGATTCACGCACACACACAGTTTTAGTAAATTTTTTGGTCACTGGTCACGGGATGTCTTTAGGTAAAGGTATATTTTTTAATTAATTCCGTGTTTCACCAATGCACGACGAGTCTTAAAACCATAATGAAATCCTTTCGGTCCTTACTTCTTATTCCTAGAAATTGAGTTGAGAGATTAATAAGAATTTTTTTTAAAGTACTGAGATTCGAATGAAAAAGGCAATTCAAAAATTCTTTTTATAAATTTCAAGCACACGCAAGTGAAATATCGCCAAAAGGAAAACTTCTAACGCCCCGCAGCGACGGGCGTCTCTTAGCAGAATTTACCTTACGCAAACCTGCCTCGGTTAATTGAAAGAGCTTCTTTCATTTAGGTAATATTTTACGTCGCGGAGTCTGCCGCCGTGGCGGGAATGCGGTTACTCTCAAACACGTAACGCGCCTCCCTTGCTCTCATTCGACGGTCGGTTACGACCCTTTTGTAGCGCGCAAACCAACAAGAAAATAATTTAATCTCTCCCACGGAATCGGAATATAAATTTGTTTCCAACATTATCTTAATTGCTACTTCTGTTCTATCAACTCTCAGCGCTGTCTTTGATGAATTGTTTTCAATTTAATTTCGTTTTAAAACACACAATGTTTGCGTTATTTAATTTGCACTTTTTATTGATAACGTTTCAGTATAATACTAGGTTAAACCTTTAACTTTTTAATGTATTGTAATTGTATGCTTCACTTTTTTTTACTTGTAGAATGTTTATTATTTTGCTTCTTTTTGGTTTATAGCTATATTTAGGCAAGACCAAAGACAAACATTTATGCGACATACATAAATGCAAGGCAATGTCATTCGTATAGTCTGTGTTTAAGTGTATAGTAGTAGTGTGGTTAGGGCGTGTTATAATTAGCGTTCAAGTCGGAGGGTCGGTCGGTGGCGCGACGTGCCTACACGCGCCGCGCGCCGCAATAAATCGCCGGCGACCGCGACTGCGCCGAGGCGCGCAAGATAAGGGTCATCGCGACACCATTAAGTGCTACTACAATGTTGCACACAGTACATTGCGCGCTGCTCTCGCCCCACACATTTTACTACTTCTCACACCTCTTAACACGTCGTCATCATCGACACGACTTACGTCGTAAACCCTCGGCGAATACACGCAAAGTGCGTTTTATAAATTACAATAAACTACGTACATAACTACGTGATTAACATAATGTTTCTGGAATGTTCCACTTTTGTCTTGTAAACGAGCATAAAGTGAAAGAACAAATTGCGAGTTTCCCCAGTATTTTCCTCGCTCGGAAAAATATATGTTTTATTAAAGCTCGGCATTTCCGAGAGCGGGGCGACCCTCGGGCGGTGGGCCGCCGCGCCGGGGGATGGGGCGGCGCACCAGTGTATAACAGACAGTAGGATATAAAACATATTTACGCGCCTATAAAGTACTCTCGTACGTTCGCTCTCAACCATTTTCTTTGTTCCTCGCTCACAGCCAATGATAATGCCTTCCACCGTTCGGTTAAACTTATTTCACTTCCATCTTATCGGGCTTTTCTTCGACCGTTTTATTTACAACCTAAACTCTGTAATACAACACTTTGATATAAACGGTTTAGGGTGGCTGACTTCT